CGAGCCCCTGATGCTCGATGATTGGTCTGGTCAAACCTTCTGATTGACTTCGAACGGAAGACGGGCGGAAAGTCGAAGTCGAAGAACGCAAGCATCACGCGTGGATCTAGGTTGTTCAATATTTCTTCCTTGTCTTGCCTCGGAGGCCGAAACCCGAGCAAACCGTTACATCGCGCCTGCGCCTGGTGGACCGATGGACTGTGCAACTGCCAGTGCTATTGATACTGACAGTTTCTGAAAGGTTAGTGGTACCCGCTCATCAGATACGATCACCTTGCGCTCATGCTTGGCTTCGTGATAAGTGAATCGAGGTGTAACGGGAGGCCAGGTCAACTCGAGCTCCACCGCGAATGCGCTATCTAGTCTAATAATTTAGTCTGGTCCTCTTTCATGCTGGACTGTCTAGCTTCCATCTGAATACTCACCTGGCGTATCTCCTTCTCGGGAGCGCTAGACTACTGGATAAACTCTAGATAATGCTCCTTCATGAGCTGAGTTAGGGCTATACATATCCCGGGCCACGGCCGCGGGCCCCTTTCCCTTGCTTTCATCTTCGGATCTCCAACAGCCATTGGCCGGATGTATGTCTTCTCGAATACCTGGTCCTTGGCCAGCATGCTTATTGACGTACACTCGTTACAGCGGATAATCTTCCGCTTTGGAAGCCCACACTCACTAGAATACCCGATCATACCCCGACGGCTGCCGGCGCTCGAGATGCGCGTATGCTTGGTGGTCCCTATATGCGCCCGATTATACCCGTTCGGCTTCGCAAGACTCAATCAACACGTCAACGCACGGCGGGCGCGCTGAGGCAACGGCTCTATCTTCAGCAAGACGCGAGCTTTCGGAAGAACAAGCCACTCTAGAACTACCGAGCTGAGGTGCGCTCTAAGTGCGACTTCTTTACTGTGGTCCGATGTGGTAGCCACAGCAAGAGGGAGGCAACACGCTGGCCAGGCGAGCTTAAAAAACTTCTGGACCAACAAGTGCGCTGACCGTGGTCCACCGGCTCCCTCTGCCGTGATGTGTTCTGTGCGCTATGAACATTCGTCATCGCCGGCAGCTTCGTTTTCGAAGCCTTCGACTTGATCTGCACAATCTACGGCAGCCCACCTCGTGCTCTCGGTGTTCTTCCTCATACGATCCGGCTTGTAATTGCGTGTCAGCTCTCAGCAGGCTTCGCCTTCTCGTGAATTGCGAGGTGAGACGCCTTCCATTCAACTTACGATCATACTGATTCTCATACCGCTCCCTTTCAGCACAGGCTCGGACTTGGGGTTGGATATGTTCCCTGCGCAGTATTGCACAACGTGTATTCTATGTATGGAAGACGCTGCCTGAACGGGCGCGCGTGGGAGTGACGATACTTAGGGTGGATTGTTCCCTGATCCACGGACCCCATCTTCCAAGCCCGATTTGTACGTGTTCTTCTTTCCCTCATCTCGGCGCGTATCCGCTCTTTTCCGGCGCTAGCAGCAGTTCGCGTACGGTCTGATTAACGAGTAACGCCACCAGGAACGCCAGGACTTAAAATTCAGCAGCACCCCTGCCGGCGTGCTCTTATATCAAGAGCTGCTCAGTGTCCACTTTCCGTTTATCTGTTCGGCACTTCTCCGGTTTACCCCGTCGCTCTTCTCAAGCTCTTCTTGCTTCTCTTCGCCGTCTCATCGAACATGTCTGACGCCTCTGGATCGACTTCCTACTACTGTCCCGTTGCCGCGCGTACGGAGGACGCCTCCTCACACTACGAGCCTCAAGTTCGGGCGTGGTTTGGTCATGGGCACATGCCCTACAGCAACGAACCTCCGGCTCCGGTGTGTTCGGATTATTGTCTTTATTGATACTTTCTCACGCTCTCAAAGGCTTTTTTCACTCCGGCTGATCCTTATCGTGGGCCGCAAAGTGCGTACAGGCAAGAGTATTACGACGCGGTCCCTCTCGGTCACTACGGATATACCGCTGCGCACGGCAGCGCTAGCTACGCCTATCAGACCACGGACCCCGCACCCGCCCCGATCGCGCCTGCCGCCGGCTTTCCCCCACTCCCGCCGCACAACACAAAAACAAGAGAGAGTGGGGAGAGTTCAGTCGCGTCAAATGATGCGCCGTACCCGGTAAGCCGCTCGGTCTCTTGTCCCTGTGCGTGCAGCTAACGAAGTAGCAGGTGGAAGTCGACTACGCGCAGGAACATCACAATCATCACGTACACTACGACGATCTGCGCGGGCATTACCCGCCGCCGAAGCAGACCCCGGCGTACACGCAGTCATACCCGATCAACAACGATTGGCGGCGCCCATCCATCATACCGCCAATCCCGGAAGCCGCGCGCTCGCAGTCCAGCAGTCTCGCGAACG